AACTGCTACCTTGTTTTGTCCTCCCAACACCCTGGGCGGAAAATAGGTTAAGTACCAACAGCATGACCTCGCTCTACAAAGATCCTGAGTGACGGATGACCGGAGGGCGGCTTGCTCAGAGAGCCTGGATCAGAGCCCCTATTCTTGGCATTTGTTGTCCCCATGTGTGGAGTTAGACTGTCACCAGGACATTTGACTGGTCTGATGGAAATGACACCAGAGCAAAACATGGGTGGAGAACACAGATCAGCTTCAAGCTCAGCCTGTCCTGGGGACAGAAATGTGAGGTGACTGGGGACACATTTTTCTCCCCTCATGTGTCCGCCAGAGTGGATTTTGCCTTTTGCCAAAATGTTGGGGAAATGGCTATGGCAGAGCAAGGAGTGGGCTTGAATGTACCAACGCCCTTGACTCCTGCCTCCGCTCCTCTGGGGGGAGGGGTGCCATTTCCTCCTGTTGGCCTTTCTTCCCAAGAATTAAATTTTCATTCAAGAATTCTGAATAGGAATTCTGCACTTAAAAATAAGAACAAAAAGCTAATTGAGTATCCCCAGTGGCTGCCCTAAATGTAGTTGGAATGTTTAGTTAGCAGGATATTATTGGTATTAATATGAATACTATCGAGTTCATTTCTGTTTCTGGGATACTCTAAGAACCTCACAGACATTCTCATTTAATACTCTACTAACCCAGTGAGGAATTTATCCTATTTTGTAGAAAAGAGGACTGAGGCTCAGCAAGGTTAAGTAATATGCTCTAGGTTATAAAGCTAGTAAAATGCAGAGCCAGAACTTTAGCTGGAATAAAACAGAAGCAGTGAGCCACCTTTTAATTCATTACAGTCAGAGTTTAAAGATCATTTAGTTGATGCCCAGAGAGAGATACAAGGTCTGTACCAGGGACCCGTGACCCCATCACGCTGCATTCTGTTTGGCTGGCCCTGTGAAGACTGACCCTGGGTCAGAGTAGCTTAGAGCAGGGGATGCTCCGTGTGTGCCTTTCTCCAGCATCAATCCCTGCTACCCCCATGGGACCTGTTCCCTGCCAATCCAGAAGAAAAAGGCCAGGAGCTCAAGTCATGAAAAGTGGGGGAGAGTTTCTTCCATCGACTGTTAATCTCCCTTTTCCTACTACCTGGGTGAAGGGAGTGAGGGAAGGACCAGTGAGATCAAGGGTGTTGGGGGCAGTGGCCCCGTGCTCCTGGGCTTTCTTCATCTCTTGGATTCGCCACTGGGTGATTTGGCCAAGCGTCTGAACTCAGCTGTCTCACGTGGTGGGGTCACGTCCAGAACCAGACAGGCCATCATAGGCCACAGCGTTTCTTCAGATGGAGCTGTATTCTTCCCAGCCTCTCTTCATTTTCTTGCATCTTCTCTCTCCCCTTAGGGCTGCTCTGCTTCTCTCTTTCTTCCTCCCACTCCCATCTCTTCCCCCATCGACCTTCTTTTCCCATGTGAAATGTATGTCACTGCATGAGAAGAAACCTGTCAAATCAATACACGTGTTTCACAAATAAATAGGAAACTAGCTCCGTGTTGGTCTTCTTCTCTGTGTGTTGGAAGATTGCTTCCCTTCTCTGCCTGCTTGTCTCGGCTTTATCTGGAAGCTCAGGTTTGCTGGCCACAGGCTTAGTCCTTTCCGTAAAACCCTAACCAACACCCTCCTTCCCATCCTGGAGTCGGGAGCAGGTGTTGGTTCACTTCATCTCACACAAGCAGGAAGGCTGTCTGGTGCAGGGACAGGTGAGGACTGACGGCTCTTTCCTGTTTTGTCAGAGCATGAAGGGACGGCCACCCCCAACACCCCTTTTTGGAGACGATGACGAAGACGATGACATTGACTGGCTGGGATGAAGACCCAGGAAACTGGTGCAGAGGTTTCTCTACTGACCCTTCCCTAAGCATGATTTTGCACAGCCAGCCCTGTGTCTAGACGGGGCGAGGTGAAGGTGAGCATTCTGAGGACGGCAGCGCACACACCTGACTTAGCCAACTTCTGAGTGCCCCGCCCGGCTGGTCCGAGAGGAGTGTGAGCCTGTCTTCACAACGTTGGGGTCCTGCCTCAGAGTCCCCTTGTGAGGAAGGGCTGGTGGGTGGCCTGCAACCAGCCATCTACAAGAATCCTGCCCTCTTCCAAGCTTTTTATTCTCTAAACTAAGTCAGACTGAATCTGCCTCCCGATGCTCAACTGTGCACCAGCAGCAGGACATGTCACCTCCGGGGAGGTCTGCCCGGTGGACTCTGCTCTCTACACCCTGGTTCAGTTACCAGCCTTGCCTGCAGTCCTGGGACATGTATCTTTTCTCTGCCTTAAATCTGATAAAAGAGGTCAATGAATATTTGAAATTAACAAAAACTAAAATAAATGTCTGCAATGAAACTTGCCTCAAGCTTTTGGGGAGAAACCAAATTTGGTTCTAAAGCTGGCTGTGCTCCTCTCTGGGAATGTCAGGGTAGGAGCTGGAACAGACTGGGGTTGCTCAACAGGCACAAAAGCTCTGTGCCACACTCCCTTTGCACCCAACCCTGGAGCTCAGGCTTTCAGGAAAGGTCACCCCTCTGCTGTCCCAGCTCATCCTAGCCGCAGGAAGGCTTGAGGTACTGTGGTTACCTGAGAAACTGGCCGTATCATCTTGGCACGCTTGGTTCTACACCCTGGGAAGCCCTGCGCAGGAGGTGGGAGGGTCCCTCCATTGTGGTGTCGCTCATCATGACCCCTGATTGATTCCTCACTTAGAGCGGCTTCCATTCCCTCTGGACTCGGGGCCAGGCTGAATGCAGAGAAGAGTAGTGAGAAAACATCTGTGGTTATTTTACTTATTTCCGGATTTTCCAAAGACCATGCAACCAGTCTTCAAGAGAAGGAGAATAATTTTAATAAAAATATTCCCTGGTTTAAAATGTTTATGAGAGAGAATCCTGGATACTGATGGCCCGACCCCACCCTTGTGAAGGCAGATCCTTTGTGAGCCTGTGTGCCGGAAGTGGGGCTGGGAGGCGGTCAAAACCACTGTTGGCTGGACTTTGTTGTTGAACACTTCACACAGACTCTCATTTCCAGCAGCCCTTGCAGAAGACACTTACCCCCTCTGATAGAGAGACTGAGGCTTAGAGAGTTCAATTAATTTGGCCGAGATTATACAGCTAGGAAGCAGGAGAATGAGAATTCAGATCCTGACCAGCCTATTCTGGAGCCTGGGCTCTTGTCCACCATGGGGCATCCATCACTGGGCTGGGGGAAGAAGGGCAGTGGTGCTCGTCACAATCCAGGCTCCTGGGCCTCAGCCCACATCTCCTGAAACAGAATCTCTGCCCTGTTGTGGTAAAACCCGGCCCCGGCCTCTCAGCCCCCACTGTCTGCGTTCACGGCCTCGCCCAGTTACCCGGTGAGCCCCACGCTCAGCTGTGCTGAGGAGCAGACTCAGGCCAGCCTGCCTGGCGCTGTGGCCCAGCTCTGCCACTCGTGAGCCGGGTGATGATTTAATTTCTCTGTGCCTCAGCTGCCTCTTCTCTAAAACAAGGACGAAGAGTTTCTGCTGGGTTGTGAGGGTTAATTGAGTTAATATTGTGAGGTGCTTAGAACACTGCCTGGCACGTAAAAAGCACTAGACACGTGTCTATTAAATTTAAAAAAACAAAAAAAAACTTCAGGTGGAGAAAGTGCCACCTTCTGTGACTTGGCCGTGAAGAATGTTGAAATGCTTAGTCTAACCAGCTCGAGAGCAGACATTTTTTAAAAGCCCTCACGCATATTACCAGCGTATCAAACCGAGAGCTTGCCAACGACCCATGGAAGTGCTCCTGGTAGCAGTGCTGCCGGGGAGGGAGGCTTAGCTGCTCAGGACGTGGAACTGGATCCGTGAGGCTCCATCAGCAAGACCGCGCCGGACCCCGGAAACATTACCCCCCACCCGCTTCGCGACATGGAGCAGCCTTGCACTTAGCTGCTGAGCTGGGGGGTTGCACTGGTCAATACTGAAAGTGTCACTTACTTTGTTATGGTTCTCACTGCAAATTAAAAAGTGGTTTCGATGTAGTTTTTGCTGCTGCCCTCAGGGGGAGAAGATGCTTTGCAGCCCACATGACAGCTAGTTGTTTTTCTCACACCAGGCAGCGCCTAGTCGGGATGTGGTGTGTGAACGTGAGAATGACTCTCGGGGAGGCAAGATCGTCGGGGGTCTGCCTGATGGCACAGTGTTCCAGGGCTGGCTGCCTGGAGCACAGAGCAGTCTTCTAGCAGATGGACAGACCCCGTCCTTGGACAGCCCCACAGCCAGCACTACCAGCTGCATTCGCCCCCCTCAGCTCCTGCAGTGGCTTCAGGGGTGGCATGTGCTTGCTGTCTGAGCAGAAACACAAGAATGGCCACAGACTTTAAAAATAGTATTTATTAAAACATCTATTTCTTTTTTAATTCCTGAAGCTTAAAACCGTCTTTCCTCTAGCCCTTGAGGTACTTGAGCATAGACATTCCAGTATCCAGCCGTGATGTTCCCTCCCTGGGTCTCATGCTTGCTTCTCTGTCAAGCGAACCATCTGGAGAGTCCCACCTCACTCTACGTGTAATGCTTTGGTTTGACTGCTTCCTGCATCGTCAGCCGACACTCCCTGTGGCTTAACCGTGTTTGCCCACCAGATGTGATGGGTGAGCAGTAAGTTCGAACTAGAGAACACGAAGTACTGAATATTCAGTGTAGTTCTCTGTTCTGCATCAAAGCAGGAGCAGGAAGGGAGCCCTGGGGTCCTGAGAAGCACCCCGGGCCCCTCAAGCCATTAGACTGCCTTCCTCCCGCAGGCAGTGCCGTCTGATGGGAGCAGCTCACCATGCAGCGGATAGGTCAGGAGCCCTGAGAAGAGTCTCGCTTCTCGGCCTTGAACCTGCTGTCATGCCCCACAAGAAAGAGAAACAGTTCCTAGCAGATGCTGCTATATCCATCGGGAATCCGATGAAGTCACTTCACTGAAAATTTTGGATTCATGTGCAAAACTGCGAACCAGGAGTTTAGTGGGAAAAAATGAAAAATCTTAGTTTGTCACCGCGATCCGCAGAACAGACCATCTTTATGTGCCCCAGAGGCAGAAAGGTGAGACAAAGGAGCAATCTCGATCTCCGTCCCTCAAATACAGAAGAGGTCAGGAAGTCCAGTGGTAGGTGCTCCTCTTTATAAGGCACAAAACGCGAGGGCAGAAGGTATGCAGCTTCCGTGGCCTTCATCACCCAGAACCCCTCTCCCTGTCTTGAAGATCTTTGGAAATTCTTAATCTTGAGTCAGAGAGGTAAGTCCTCATGGGCTCAGCAACTCTGCCCTCAAGTTCTGGTCTCTTCATTCTCCCTGAGGTCACAGCAGCCTTATTCAGGCACAAAACGCCCAGCCTGGGCCCCGTCCAGGCTGGCTGAGGGCAGAGGTAGCTGCAGGGGCCTCTGAACTCTGAGCAGCAAGTGTTGGCATCGGCAGGACGTGTCAGGAGCTGGGAGCGTGGCGAGGAACAACCATCAGAAGACACGGGAGACACAGGGCTGGAAGCTCGGTGTCTGCAGGAGGGGGCCGCAGCTCGCTCTGGCCCCCGGTGCCTGCAGAGCCCTCACCAGCTAAACCATGCTGAGGAGCGGGTAGGCCAGGTAGTAGCCCACAGCAGAGCCAAGGATCACGCCGAAGAAGATCCACGTGTTGTACGACATGACGGCCAGCATCATGAAGTAGCCTATGACCACCTGAACAACGTGGATTAGAGACTGGCTGAAGTGACAGAAAAACCACCTAGATGACAAGGAGAGTCAAGTTAATGTTGATAATGAGATGGTGTCAGGAATTAGAGCCGCTGAGTTACAGGACTAGCTTATTTATATTTGTGTGCTGGACCCAGAAGAGACTTCTTTCTGAAGAGATACATGAGAAACCACTGCTAGGGGCCAGGGGCTTGTACAAGGAGCCTTGGGTAATCACATCCCTACTACATTCAGCTCTGAGCTTCCTAGCATCCAAGGCAAAAAGGGGAAATGAGACATGTATCCTGTCATGTCTGATAAAGGATAATACAAAATCATCAGTAAGGCAGGTAGGTTTTTCCTTCTGAACCCGCTGTGGGAGATTCCTTCTGAATCTACTAGCTCAGCCACTTACTTACTGTAGCTTAGCACAGATATCTTAACCTCTCTGAACTTAAAATTTCCTCGTCAGTAAAGGAGGGATAAGAATACCTCCCTTGCAGGCTGGGTGTGAACAGCAGAGACACCCGTGTAAGGAAAAGGAAGGCTCGGGAAGCACCGCTAGAGCTGGAGAGAGGGCCGACGTGGGACCCCGTGGCGCGGCCTTAGCAGACTGGGATGGGAAGGAGGGAAGTGGGAGCTCCTCTGCCAAGACTGGTCCGCTGCAGACAGCAAGCCTTACTATTTGTGTAGGAACAGCTGCAGATTCCAGCCTGGGTTTGGAAGCCTTAGTGACCTAAGAAAGGCTGCTGAGATCTGGAGGAGGACTGGATGGATGCCCGTGTTGCTGGACTGAGGCCTGCACCAGAGTTCTGAAGATCTGAGTCTCCCGAGTGGCTGTTCGTAGAGCTCTGGCCTAGGCATCAAGAGACCCGAGCTCGAGCTCACCTCACTACTTATTCCCTGTTAGCACTCTGGCAAGTCCTTCCTCGGGCCTGTTTGCTTTAGCCCTCTGGGCCCAGCCTCTCTCATGGTGAATGTGAGTATGCTATGCCTGTTACCTGAGGCGGGTTCTGCTGACCGGGGGTGAGTCTGAGCCAGAAGAATCCTGGTCTGTCTCCTCAGTGAGCTGGCTGGTGGGGATGGACAGGCTCACGGCGGCCTGGTAGAGCAGCTTGGCTTTGCCAACCTTGATGCTTTCATACAACACAGCCAGGAGCAGGACCACCACTACCGAAAGGGCCATGCCTATGAAACAGAGCCGAGTTGCAGAGACCTGGCCAAGCAAGGCCTGATCCCCTTCTGGCAACTTCCCCCAGGACTCGGGATATGGAGCAGCAGAGCACCTCCACCTGGTCCTCCTGAATCCATTCCATCTCCCTCTCTCTGGCATCTTCCTCCCCACCCTCCTTGGGCTCAGAACTTCACTGTCTCTTTGTCCTCCAGCTCTTTCTTGGAAAGGATGGCCAATTGGGGTACGGCTGTGAGATCAGGAAGAAAAGCAGGGTCTGGAAAGCCAGGGGCTGAGGGTAAAGAGGTCACACACCACTGCCCCCAGCGGCAACCCCTGCAGGTGGCACAAGTCTCTGTCAGGAATTCTTGTTAGGCAAAGAGCATGTACAGCAAGGTCCTGAGTAGGAGTGTGTATAAAGAAAAGTCTGGAAGGAGGGAGATACAACAAAGGAGTTATAATTACCTCAGCAAACTAGGATATAAAGGATTTTTTTCTTCTCACCTAATTTTCCGAAGTCAGTGCTGTGTGTATGCTTTTATAATAGTGGAAAACACCACTAAGTTATTTTACAGAAAACATGAAGTGCTTACAAGAGCTGCTGTAAAATTAGTGGCTAATTGCTACTTCTCTTTTACAAGATGAGGAGGGATACTAAATACATCAGCTATAGTTATTTTATTGGGCTTCCAGGAGGAAATCATCTACAAAAGATGCAGGTGATATTTTAAAATACAAAATTACATGTAATTACATGCACATGGTACGGATTTAACTGGGACCAAAGGGTATACAGTGAAAGGTAAGTCTTCCCAGCCCAGTCCCTAAAACCCCAGTCCTCTCCCCAGAGCCTTTTCCTCTGCAGCTCTCCAGGGATACCCACTGTAGGCATCGACCTGTGTGTGTGCTTCCACGTCTGACATCATCCAAGTACACCTCGTAGAGAGGTTCCCCTCCCTGTACACAGATCTGCCTTATTTCTGTGGCTTCATAGTATCTGTGATACAGTCTATTGTCCAAGGGTGGCCACCTCACCTCACCGCACCCCACATGCTCTTCTTACAGTGTCAGCACCCCTGCCGTCAAGTGTGTGGTCCACGGCCCCTTCCCTTTAGGCTGAGAAGACCTTTGTGACTTCCTCACCCAAGCAAGGTGGAAGTGAGGCTCTGTGACTTCCAAGGCTAAGGTCTTAAAAATCCCGTACACTTCCATCTTGTTTTCTTGACACACTCGCTCCTGGAACCCAGCTGCCCTGCCACAGGGAAGCCCAGGCCCTAGGAGACACCCCATATTTTGGTGTTCCGCCGGCAACCCCCCAGCCAGAGGTCCTCGCTGACAACCAGCAGCAACTGGGAGACACGAGCGTGAGGAAGCCTTCAGGAGGACTCCAGTTCCAGCCATTGTCTGACCACACCTGCGTGACAGGCTGTGAGTGGGGACCGCTTAGCCGAGCCCAGTTAACCCAGAACCTTGAGAAGGAATGCTACAATGACTGGGCTTACGGGGTGGTAGGGGCTGGTGACCCGCTGTAGGGATGACCGTGATTTATCTCATCAGCACCTGCAGGCCTGGGCACTTGGGACATTTCCCATCTACTTTTTAAGATACAGTTACTTAAGTTGAAACAACTACATCATGAATTTGCGCCCAGCTCTGCCTTTTCAAGTCAAAGCAATACCATTCTCTTGCAAACTGGTGCCTCATTTGAGGTCCAGCCAGCAGCAGCTGTTCTGGACTTCTGAGCTGGTGCTGGACATGGTAGGAGGTAGGTGCTAGGTGGGTGCTGAGAGGCAACAGGAGGCCTCGATCGAGCTCTGGCTCGGATGCTTACTCGCTATGTGACCCTCTTCCCTCTTTGAGCTTCAGTTCCTTCTCATGTCATAGAGGCAAAGGCTGTATCCTTGGCCTCTCTCTGGGCCTTGTGACAATCAGTGAGATAATGGAGCCTTTTGTGACGTGAAGAGCAGTGCTTGGAATTATAAATGCCAATTTCCTGCTCAGTGCTTATGAAAGAGGAGTCAGGCTCATCTGAATGTCCACAGAGGGTAGCGCTAAAGGGAACCGGGCTCTCCACTGCCCAGAGCTACAAGGCTTTCCGAGCTACAAGGCTAGGCTTCCCCACTCTTACCTGCAGGACTGTGGACACTCCAGAAATCAAACAGAAGCACCACCTCATTGGAGAAGATGAAATGCATCTGAAAGAAAAGGGAATTTGCATTGCTCAAGGCAGTAAGAGTCCTGGTCCCTAATGCTCTCCAGCAGCCTCCCCTAAAGGCCCAGAGGAACGAGGTCACTGGTCTTAAGTGCTGGAAGGGCCCACTAGTGGTCATCAGGACGAACTGAGGTCAGACAGGGTAGACACTTACCCAAGGTCCCACAGTGGGTCAGCAGCAGAGCTATCATTGAGATGGCCCTACTCGAGGTGGACGTGAGATACGGGGGTACCACACAGGTCAGTGTCCTCAGGTCATGCTGAGATGTCCCCCCTGGGGCCCCAGTCATTCTGTTCCGGCCATGTGTATCATGGAGGGGCCAGGGGCTGCTGTCTCCATGCGACTCCACATCTGTCCACTCATTCATTAAACATTTGCTGACCCCATTCTGTGCACAGCATTCTGGACAAAGTTTAACGTCTCTGCCCTTGATGACTTATGGAAAGAACAAGGATAGACGCACAGACCATGCCGCACGCATCTGAACACCCCTCTCAAAGAGCGCCTTACCCAGCCCGTGTTCGGGGTGGCATCAATCGCTTCTCGTACATTACCTCATTTCACAACCGTCTTCTGTGTGACAGGGACGGTCAGGCCCATCACATAGAAGAGAAAACTGGAGACACTAGGCTCCAAAGGGTTAAATCATTTGCTGAAGGTCACAAAGCTAGTAAGTTGGCAGAGCTTGGATTCAAAGCCGGGTCCAGCTGGATGCCCGGGTGCTGTGCATTCCAGGATACTAGGCTGTCTCCTGCTTGCCAAGAAAGGAGGACAAGAAGGAGGCCGGGTGGCAATCCTCAGTACCCACTCCAGGCTTAATGACTGTGTTTGGCAAGATTAAAGCCAGAGGGATGAATATTAGTTCACTGTCCTGGGGTGGGGAAAGGAAGGTCCCCTCTCATCACTGGGTAAGTAGGACCTCGGTCAGCAACAGTGACTCCGCCCTCCAGCCGAGGAGATCTGGGCAAGTGGCATCGGGTGACAGAAGCCTTTGCCTTCTAAGGCAGGTATTAGACTCCCCAAATGTTAGACCCAGAGTGTCCTTAGAAAGGTTTTTTTTTTTTTTTATTGTGGTACAACTGACATGTAGCTTTATTTTAATTTCGAGTGTACAACCTGATTCGATATTTGTACATTATCGTGAAATGATCACCACAGTTAAGACTGGTTAATATCCATCACCACACAAAGTTACAATTTTTTTTTTCTTGTGATGAGAACTTTTAAGACCTCCTCTCTCAGCAGCTCTCAAACATACAATACAGGGGGCACCTGGGTGGCTCAGTGGGTTAAAGCCTCTGCCTTCGGCTCAGGTCATGATCTCAGGGTCTTGGAATCGAGCCCCACATTGGGCTCTCTGCTCAGCGGGGAGCCTGCTTCCTCCTCTCTCTCTGCCTGCTTCTCTGCCTACTTGTGATCTCTGTCAAATAAATAAACAAATAATCTTAAAAAAAATACAATACAGTAGTATTAACTATAGTCACCAGGCTGGGCAGCACATCCCCGGGACATATAATTTTCTCAGAGGCTTTAGTCCTCTGGCTTTCAGTCTTTCTTTCTTTCTCCCTTTCTTTCCTTTCTCCCTCCCTCCCTCTCTTTCTTTCTTTGTTTTCCCTTGGTCAGGGATTACCAGCAAATAAAATCCTCCTTATAACTCCACCATATAAAACCAGGGCACTGAGTGAAGAGGGGAGAGCACTCCGAACTCCGCTGAAACTCAGTGTGAAAAACACTGATCTAGTCCAACTTGGCCCCTCTCTATCCCCATTTCATTCCCGGGTGGGGAAAATGAGTCCCAACAGGGGAAGGGATTTGCCCAAGACCTCCTAAGAAGAAAATGTAAATCTAGGCAGTCATTTAAAACTCATGTGGAAGAATTAAGGGGTGCCTGGGGGGCTCAATAGTTAAGCATCTGCCTTCAGCTCAGGTTGTGATCCCAGGGTCCTGGGGTCGAGCCCCACATCGGGCTCCCTGCTCAGCAGGAACCCTGCTTCTTCCTCTCCCACTCCCCCTGCTTGTATTCCCTCTCTCACTGCCCCACCCCTCTCTGTCAAATAAATAAATAAATAAAATCTTTTAAAAAAAATCATGTGGAAGAATTACAAAATAAAAACAGCTTCTTACTCCCCCAATGTGAGGGAGGTACTTGTTTAACGTAAAAGCTGTAACAGTACCAAAAAGAAAGTAGAAATTATTTTGAGTCCTACTATCCAGAGACGTCCCTCGTTATGATTTCAAAAAGCATGTTTGTCAATATGGCAAAATGTTCGCGAAAGACGGACATGCGAAAACAAGTCCAAATCATCCTGTGAAACTCCATTTACACTGGAGTTCCGCTCATTCAGCTTCAGCAGAAGCCTCGAGCACCACCTCCGCGGTGGGGAAGGTGGCAGGCGTTGCACCATGCCCCTTCTCTGAGTTCACTTAATAAAGCAACTGGCATGACTGGAATGTCCCCAACGGCTAGTTAATCAGAGAAGTTCCCTAACTGGCTTCCTTCTATCATCCTTGGGCCTGGGCCAGCTGTCTCAGGGGCCTCAAAGCTTTTGCTGTAGACTTGAGCACCCACAAAGCAATAAAAGTAATTCAGCTGACAAACACTGACTTTGGTTTTGCTAGGGGTGCAGATGCTGGAGATATGGAGACAGCCCTTGGCCCTCGAGAGACAAACCATCTGTTAGGGGAGAGGGAAGGGAACAGATCATTACAACAGGGTGAATGCAGTCAGTGAGGAGGCACAGGGGAGGCCTCCTGCGGGTGCTGGGGAGGAAGGTCCCCCCCACGGGGAGACACCTAATTGGGCCAAGAAGGCAGATGGCTATGGCATCTTCTGAAGCAGGAGGAGCAGGAGGCAGCCAGAGGAAGACAGACTGTTTACTATGTTCCAGGCTGGAAGCGCCCAGACAGTAGTTCCACCTGACTGGGGAGTGAGGAGTCCAGGAAGGACAAAGGCTCACCCACTCCTCCTTTTTCACTGGAGAAAAATTCAAATCAGCACATCCCGACTTGGTGCTGCATTTAAACTAAAGGGTCCTGGATGCCTGGGTGGCTCAGTGGGTTAAGCCTCTGCCTTCAGCTCAGGTCATGGTCTCAGGGTCCTGGGATTGAGCCCCACACTGGGCTCTCTGCGGGGAGCCTGTTTCTCTCTCTCTCTCTCTCTCTCTCTCTCTCTGCCTACTTATGATCTCTCTCTCTCTCTGTCAAATAAATAAAATCTTTTTTAAAAAATTAAAGGGCCCTGTGGTCAGGTACGGAGGCGGCAGCACCCTACTTTTGTTTCTCCACTTAGGCAGAATCTCAGCCTCCAGCCCCAAGTCTTACTTATCTGCGCCTTCTTCAGGGCCCCACCCTGGGTAGGGAGGGGCTGTGGTGAAGAAGAGAGCAATCAGGGACTTGTTTTCTTCTTTATGTTCGCATTTGAGGTTACTTAGACTTCGAGAAGAGCTCTCTCGTTAATAAACCCAACAGTTCAGGGGGAGGTTAAGGTCCTTGTCCCGCACTTGCCTGGCTCAGGAACTTTTCACAAGCTCTTCCCATCTATTTCCCCTTTTAGAAGGCTAGCAGGTGGTGGGGGAGGACGTTTGACTAAATGACCAGTATTGGCTTCCTGTATCTTAAATTCTATGATATTCATGGGGGTGATGATGATTTTTTCAAAGATCAAAAGAAGTCTTGCAAGCTGTCATTCTCTCCACCCCCCGGTGAATTCTGCCTAAAAAGTCAGTTTGTGTGAAACGCGACTTCTACCCAAACGTAGGGAGGATGGAAAGCAGCTGGACCTGAGATTCAGACCACCAGCTTGCCAGGACAGGGAACCGGCCCTGGGGCGTGCGCTCGGTGCGTGAAGTGCGCGGGGCTTTTCCTTCTGATGGGGACCCCGCGGAATCTCTCCCAAGTCACTGCGTCCAGGGCAGGGGACGCCCCCCCCCCCCCCCCGCCAAGTCTGTCTTCACCCACCGCGCCCCCGCTGCTCGTCGGGGCCGGACTGACTGCCAGCAGGAGGCACGGATAAGGGAAAAAAACACAGGCAAGCCACCGCCGGCTCCGCCTCCCGCGTCCCCTCAACCCTGCTCCCGTCCACCCTCCCCGCGTGGCCGCTGACAGTGACCGCGAGACTCACCTTGGAGGTGAGCGCGCCGGGCGGGCGCAGGGACCGCCACCGCTCGCTGGGGACTCCACGCTCCGAGTCCGACTCGCCCCCGCCGCCGCGATCGCGATCTGGGCCGCGAGGTCACATGGTCGTGGCGAGGCAGGCGCGCGGGCACCTGGGAGTTGTGGTCCCCGCGCGTGGCTTCACTCCCGGCGGCCTGGAGCGCACCCACCCGTATGGAGCCCGCGGCGCGCCAGCCTGAGCCCCAGGCGGAGCGCGGGCCACCTGCTGCGCTCTGTTTGGCCCCTTACCTTGTTTTGCACTTGACTTGTCTCTGCAACTATCCTTACAGAGTTTATTGCTCTTCTAATAAACCTCGCGAAGCTTAACATGTTGAGTGGAAAAATTGTCAAGTCCATTCTATGGACAAAATAGCAACAAATTAGGAGTAAATGAAATCATGCCCCGGGGCTTTAATGTAGTCATTCTTTTCCTATCTTTCCCAATCTGATAAGCAAAAAGCAATGCACAGTTTTAATTTTAACTTGTATTTCTTGGGTTACTAGGGTGATAAACTTTTTTCTTATTGGTATCTCTGTTAGTGTGTTGTCTGTCCATTTCACCCACCTGGTTTTGGTGCCTGGACTGGGAGACTTTTCTGGTGGATGAGCGACCTTTAACAGTATTTCTTTTTTAAATTTTTATTTATTTATTTATTTATTTATTTTTAAAGATTTTAATTTATTTATTTGACAGAGAGAGCACAAGCAGAGGGAGCAGCAGGCAGAGGGAGAGGGAGAAGCAGGATCCCCACTGAGCCAGGAGCCTGATGTAGGACTCAATTCAAGGACCCTGGGATCATGACCTGAGCTGAAGGCAGCTGCTTAATGTACTGAGCCACTCAGGTGTCCCTAACAGTATTTCATTTTTAAATATACTTAGTAACCCTTTGCTAGTCCTCCTGTGGGAAAAGAGAATCCTCAGAGAAACCTTACCAGAGACAGTACTAGGGGACTTGAGCCTGGAGTATGACCTCGGTTCAAATCCTGAGCTAGTCAAGTATTGGCTATGGGACCTCAGGCAAATGGTTTTATGCTTCTGAGCCTCAGTTTCCTGGTCAATAAAATGAAAATAACAACAGAATCTATGTCATAGGTGTGTTGTGAGGCTTAGACGAAGACATGTATGTTAAATTTTCAGCACAGAACCAGGCAGTGGGAGCTTGCTCAATAAGTGGTGGGCCTGTTCATCACCAGTACAAATGCTTCTAGACAGGAAGCAGATTGCAAAAGGTCAAGACTCTTGCTCAGGGTCACGCAGCTTCTAAGAACCTCGATCTGAAGGACAGTGGGGGTTAGAGGGAATTCAGGGATGGGAGCAGCCTCAGGGAGAGAATATGGGACTGAGATCATGAGGAGGTCTGGGAGGGAGGCACTGGCCCATGAAGGAAGCAGTGGGGAGAAGGGCTTATGGATATTCTTGAAGCATCTCGGCCCCAAGAGCTTGGGAGGGATTAGGTGATTTAGGTGTAATCATCTGGGGAAGTAGGAGTAAGAAGACTTGACCTTCACATAAGCAGCCTCTCATGCACTCCCTCACCACCCCCCACCTCCATCCTTCTATAGAAGTATTGACAACACAGCGTCATTCATTTGACTGTTTTTGTTGGCTTTGTCCCAATCTGATGACGTTCTCACTTAGTTCTAACTTCCTCATGTGTGTTATGCTTATCACACTTTAGCCCTGAAGTTCTAAAATGCCCCCTTTTCTTTCTGAGCCATCAGAGACTCCCCTCGTCTGGCCCCAGGCAAAGAATTTGGTGCCAGCCACAGAATCCCAACTCATAAGATCACACCAGAGTGGGCCAAGCCTCGGTCCATGGCAAGATTCTTTCCGGATTCTGTGTTTTGACAGTCCCCTCCTCCCGAGGAAAAACAAAGAGTCCACCCTTGTTTTCCAGCATGTACCTAGAGCCCCTGGACAGAATCCTCAGTCAGGAAAGACGGTGCTGCCTTGGGTGTCAC